TTCCAACTCTTAGGAACCCTACTTCCAACCCTACTTCAAATAAACAACCATCCAATACTAATATTTATTTAGGCCCTGAGGATTATGGCTTGATGATTACTTCGTGGAAGTATTTATTTCTTGGGCTTGAATAAAATCGTAGACTGAAGTTATGATTTTATTCACTATAAATGAAATTGTGGAATCAATTCAAATTCCTTTTTCGTTATTCGAGGGTAGAAATCTTGAAGACAAGATTTATTTTAATGGGGGTCGAATGTAATACCTTAGGAATATATATATATATCTACTAATTAATAAAACATTCATTGTCAACCAAAATCCTATGAAATTACCAGTTTAACCCTCTAACAGAACATGAATAAAAAAATATGGGTCAGAAATTTAATTTCACATAACCAAATTTTGCTGTTTTTTATCAAAGCCTCACCTACATGTAATCCCAACATATCTCTAATAAAAAAAATTAAAAAAAAAATTCTCACACACTTTGTGTGTGCAAATATACTAGTATATATAAAATATAAGGAAAACTAATCAAAATGACTTGAAAACTCTGAGTTTTAACGATAAGGACAAAATAAAGGGTAAAGTGAATAGTATCAGGTTTGACTTTTTAGTGTAAAAATGTGGTTTTTTTTTAAAGTGAACAGTATCACGGGCTTTTCGTTAAAACTACCTAAAATATATGATTATGAAAAAAAAAAAAAAAAAAAAACTGCCTGATGGCAGAAAAGAAAAAGAAAAAGAAGAAATGGAAGGTGTGGGAGGAAGAAGAAAAGGAGGAAGCGGACAAATCGGGAGAGGGGAGAGGAAGAGGTTAGGCCAATGGGAAGAAGTGAAAGGAGGGAAGGGAGGGAGTTGCAGAGCACCCAACCCGAAGCCCCATCCCGTCGACCCGTGCAATCCACCAGACTCGACCCATTCCACCACATTCCCGACGACTTTCCGTCGATTTTCCAGGCTAGTTAGGTGATGCCAACACCACCAATCAATTCCTCGTCATCCCAGCTTCCATTCCCACCTAAGTTGGACTGGCTGTGGTCGAGGTTTCACGACGAACTGTTGTCGTTTTCTCCAGCGAGTTCGAAGGCACCCACGGTAGCGATCCGTCCTATTTTGAAGCCACCACCGTCAACCACCACCATGGGTCGACACCTTGTGAACCCAAGAATATGTCCCAAGTCTTGGTTGGGGTGGCGGAACACCGGAGGTGGCGAATCGAGGGCCACCCTTTTCTAGGGTTCCAGTGAGTTTCGAGGAAAATTGGAGCTTTTCCCGGCCAAATTGGACTTGGCCATAGGTATGAAACTTGTTTTACTCATTGAGATCTACATGTCTATAAATTTTTAAAAAATTTAGAATTAGTTGAATTTTTTGGCACGTCGGGCGGCCGACCGTCACCCACTGTGGCGCGTGCCGTGGCGCGTAGCCAAAGGGCCGTCAATTCTACTTTTAGGCTAAATTCGATGTCTTCAATTCAATTTTGATGTTCGTATGACGTAGGTTAATCGTTTGAACCTAAATTTACTATGATACGTTGCTTGGTTAATATATGAATCAACGATCTGATCGATGGATCGTCAACAAACTTTGATACATTATAATGCACAGTGTTCTAAAAATGGGCTTAGGCGGCACCTAGGCGCTAGGCAGCGGAGGTCCGATCCGATTTAGGCCAAAACGTTCGGTTAAGGTGGGGAAGATTTTGGTGGCTGCCTAGCTGCTCACTGGGCGCTCTAGGCGGTGCTAGGCAGCACTCTAGGCGTTTTGAATCTCGATGCAGCTCTTCATCGGATCTGCAACTCTCAATTTGTATCGTATCAGTGGAACTTTATGCAGAATTTCTGCAGCTTTCCGTTTGTGCATGGACAAGGGAAGAGAAGGCGCAGAGGGAGAGAAAGCAGCTTTCGTCTGTGCGTGGACAAGGGAAGAGAAAGCACGAAGAGAGAGAGAGAGAGAGAGAGAAGAGCAACATTAGGCTTCTGAATTTCAGATCTAGTTTGTGTTTTGAACGAAGAAGAAACGAAATAAATTTAAAATGATGGTTTCCACTTTCCAAGGGTTCAAGGGCAGTAAATCCGGACTCAACCTTGGATTATGTGAGAAACGTGGGGTGGAGGATTAGAGCAATTGATTAGTTTTAATTTTTTATGAAGCCAACCACCCACCACTGGGGTGTCTATTTTTTTTTTTTTACTTATTTACTTGAAATAATGTTTTATGAGGATATATAAACTTCTTGTACATTACTATATTTTCTTATTTTGTTCCTATTTTGCATTTTATGTGGTTTTGAATTGTGTACTTGTTGTACATGTGTCACCCTACAATGCTCCTTACTATTGTTATATGACATATATGCTTAATGTGTTTTTAAATTTTGGACTTGTTGAATATTCTTTTTGCATTTTATCATTCTTTTATTATCTTATCTATGGATTTCATACAAGTATAATTTTTTGTAAGTGTTAATATGCACTTATTTACAAGATATACAAGAAATTTACCTAAATCCGCCTAGGTTGCCTAGACCCCTGCCTAGCCGCCTTGACGCTAGGCGCTAGTTCATCGCTCGACTAGCGCCTAGCATTTTTTAGAACCTTGATAATGCGTAATATTTGAGGATCATAGAAACTTACAGATCGGGAATTTGACGTACGAATTTTCCTGAATTGGATTTGTAAGCTTGTAAAATAAACGTTGACCGCTAATAGAATTCGTGAATGGTGAAGATCTGACCGTTGGATCATGATAAAATTTTAGTATATTGTTCTGGAAGATTAAGGTGAACTACGAATGGCTTGATCCCTGTTAGAGTACGTAGGCAGTCTAAACAGGATGTTAGATGCAGCCATAAACTAAACAAAATGATTATTTTTTTTCTAGTGTGGTCAGTTAGAATAATAATTAACCGTTATTTTTATTGTGGCCTACCTTAGTATTTGGCTTCCGAATTAAATTTTTGGGATGTTACACCTACCATTAAAGAATCCAATTTAAAAAAACGAACTTATCTTTGGATTTGAGGCATGTAGCACAAGATTTGGCACACCCACTCTCAGTAGGGTTTGATGATGACCCCTACCCCGTTTCCCTGAAATCTTGACCACCCATATGGTCTTCTTTGACCATACCGACTCTCTCACTTGTGAAATTCAACTGCAGCAATAGTGCCGAGACCCCTACCCCTCCCCCTCGCTCTCCTTCCATCGCTATCTCTCTCTCACAAACCCTCCATTCTCGAAACCCTAATTGAATGACAACAAATGATACCTACCCAATGACCCCTTATCTCGCCCAAAACGGAGAGGACAAAATTGCTCTTCATAATAGACCATTCCCACCATCGGACTGTAATCTTAGATGGGCAAAAATGTAATTAAATACTTTGGGTCTCACTGAGGGTCGGGCTTCCCAGCCAAAACCAACACATTTGGGCCTGGCTGAGGGTCGGGCTACTGACCCAAAACCAACAGAAAGATCACATGGCATGGTTGTAATTAATCTGAAATTCGGATTGAAACACTATTTTTCATTTTTACAGTGCCAATTCCAAACCTTTCTTTAGACTAAAGTAATACCAATTAGCTTACCTAACCCTATTTTTCCTTCTTGAACAAAAGTTGAGATACGTCTGCCACTTTGACATTTTCACATGGAGTTTTTATTGACGCTCTAAAAATGTGATCATGCACTTGTTTGAACATATATTCATGTGCCCGGATGACTCATCCTTTCGCGGGGTGGTGTTCAATTCAACATCCAAACAAGAGGCATTTTCATTCTCATAACCACTTGGCTTTTAGATTGAGGCACTTGAGAATAGGGCGCAATGTTTGGACCTAGATTTCTCATCCCCATTCAAGTCGAGCAAGTGCGCTTCAGGAAGCACACTTCAATAGGTCGTTCATTTCCAAGTCGGCCCACTCGAGGTCGAACACGTTTTAATCCAAGTGAGCCGATTCACTTTCTCATCACTTTCATGGTCCAGAAGAATTTTACAAAGTTAAACAAATTAGTGCTTGTGATGAAGTGGGAATCGAGTTTTCAAAGTTCAAATCTTGAGCGTAAAATGTGAAGAAGATTGTAGCAAAAGTCAAAACACATTAATTCCAAATCAATGCTGATGGAGGCAATCAACACAGGTCTTCAATTCACAGGATTTCCAAAACGTCTTAAGAAGTCCTACCGCTGAATGTCGTTGCTTCTCTACAATGCTGCTAACGATTGCGACTTCTTAAGCTATTATACTGATATCTGGCGTCAGTCCTGTCGTGATCCCATGAACCAGGAGATGCATCTTCCAGCTGATCGCTCTGCGTCCAAGCCAAATCTGTTTGCATAATAAGCGCTTCCACATCTTCCTCGCATACCATACGGAAACCACACTTCTGCACTTCCACTATTCGGTTTGTATGCTTCAAATGCAAATCGAAGACTGAGAGTGGATATTCTCCAAAGCTACACCATCAACATCAGTTATCCGTGACGTGTGTCATACATTAACCAGCTTGGAACTGAATCAGCTTTCCAGAAATCAAACGTTGCCGCCTCACGATGTGGAATTAAAAAAATGCCCATTCCTAGTCGCGACGAAAACTCTACTTCCACAACCAAACCACTGTCGATTTGCAGCCTAATATTTGAATTGGCCCAAATGATTCAAATCGTCCATATAGAAGCCTACTTATCATTGTGGCTCCTTCACCAAGGTGCGATAAGTCTTGTTTTTTCATTCACCCTTGGAAGAATTTGTCCTTGCAGGTTCAACAGTATTTCCAACATTGGCAAGAAAGATGGGGGAATCAAATTCCTGCGAGTTTCCTTTTTGTTTTTTTTTATTTGTTTTATCAAAATACTTCCAGTATTGTTTACTTTTAACAAAAAATCAAAATTATTCACTATCCTTTTAAAATGACATTTCATTAAAATAGAAGTTTTTTTTAAACTTTTCATTAATTTTTTTTTTTCCGTTAAAACCACAAAATCAATCTTACTACAGCATTGTCATAAAAAATGACAACGAGGTATCTTTATTTCAAAAAGAAGGAAAATACAAACTGTCAAGAGGGATGTGCAGCCTAACCTTGATCTTGATATGCTGCCAAAATCCCCAAACTCTGGAACCTATAAGAAGTAATAATTTTTTTTTAAAAACAGTACCATTTGTACCTTGTGTATTCAGGATACCTTGTATGCAATTTTACAAATTATGGAGCTGTTGCAAATGGCTATCAAGGAATTCCAAGTCCCCTTCAAAAATTCTAACACACCTCTGCCTGTCACCGCAATCAAGTATACTAAACACACCCTGATGATTGGGTACTCACATAACCGCCTCTACATCTTCCTCGTATACTAAACACACCCCACACTTCTTCGCATCCTCTATTCGTACGAACCGCTCAAATGAAAATCCAAGCTCACTGACATTCTGCCACTCATTGCCAGTAAAGAATTCATGCCGTGGAAGGATGAAGAAAAAAAGGTGGCCTCTCCAAAAAATATCGTGTCCCTCCTGGGCCATTAAACATGCTTTTCCATTGATGCTCAGTTTTATATCACTTATATCCATTTGCTTAAATCCGAATACCCCACACACCGCAAATCCCTTTAACTTATGATCAGTAGACCACCCTGGATGTAGCTCTACACTGATTGAAAATCCCACACTTCTGTGATTGAAGCACTCTGGAATTTGACTTCCAGGAACTACAAACTTGCATCCTAAACCAGGAAGTCTCGTACTCGTGCAAACTTGCTTCTCCACCCGCTTGAAACAGTTAGCAAAAAGTTTAATCACGTCTACACAAGCTGATTCCAATGCCTAGCAATTGTAAGCTTCAACACAGGATATTGTAGAAGGAAGCTCTCCGATTAATGTTTGAAGACTCTTGCAACTAGACACACCAAGGTATTCAAGTTTGGAAAGTTGACAAATACTCATGGGTAAGCTAGATAAATAATTTTCCCTTAGATCCAATACCTTAACGAGGAGGGGCAGCCGATATCATTTGGAATTCCTCCTTCCAAAATATTGCATTTACTTAGACTCAAGTGCGTTAAAGATTACAAACCAGATAAAGAAGGCAGTTCAATTATAGCAGTTTGACTCACATCAAGCCATTCCAAACTCTCAACATGGCCCAAGTCTTCTGGCAATTTTTGAAGCCTCGAGCAACCATAAACATCAAGAACTTTCAGAGACTTTAAGCCAGAAAAACTTCTTGGAAGACGTGCAAGGTTTTTGCAACCAAGCAACCTCATAACCTTAAGTCTTTCAAGCGTCCCCACAGATTGGTCAACTTCATACAATTGGTCGCAACCTGAAAGAAGCAGTTGCTCAAGATTTGGCATACCTCTGAAGTCTGGGGTTTCCACAAGATTTGGGGAGTCAGAAAGATCAAGGATTTTCAAATTGTATGAATGCTGCTATCAAGTGAAAACATAGCAAAAATTAGCTTCACATGATATTAATGTGGCTGATAAAAATCAATAAGTCAGAAAGTACCTTTATCCCCTTCCAAAGATGTTCGAGGCGACTAAAGGTCATGTGAAGTTCCACAAGATGCTCAGGACAGAAAGCTGACGGCAAAGTTTTTAGAGGAAAGTTGTGCCATTCAAGAAACCGCAAACCATTGGGAAGATATTCAAGCCCGTTAGAGAGCTTCGCCTCATATAGCCCGAGGAATCTCAGTTTTTTCATCATTGAAAAGGAATTAGCATGCACTTGGACTGGTTGTCGCTCATCCCGGCGCATGATTATACATTCAATTGTTTCTGTTCCCTAGTCAACAAGAATAAATTCTAGGTCATAACATAAGCAAAGCGGTAACTAGTACAACACCATGTTGTATACAAGACTTAATAGCAACTAGCAATCAAATTTATTATTATAATAAAAGCCTCTTACTGTATTTTCACTCAGGACACGATTGATGTCAGCACTACGCCACAACCTGCTACGCTTGCCTGGATCATCAGGAGATTCTCGGCGAACAATTTCTCGACCCATTTCTTGGAGTACATCATGCATCAATAGCTTACCGTTTGAATTAACAGTTAACAGAGATTTCTCAACAAGGACATCTATTCCAATAGGTGCATAAAAACCACTAGCTTCAAGAAGCTCTGTTACTTGATCTTTCGCCCATCCACTAAGGAAACATGCAATGTCTAGAAAAATTTTCTTCTCATTGTCATCTAGACCATCGTAGCTTATTTTAAGTGTGTCAAAAACTTCTCGATTACAAATTTCTCTTAGTTTATCCAACGCACTGTTCCATGCACTTAAACCTCTTCCGCACAAAAAAGATCCCAAGACTTTAAGAGCTAGTGGAAGACCGTTGGCATAAATTAGCACACGATTTGACAAATGAACAAAACTTGGTTCAGGGCAATCTTTCTTAAAGGCATTCCGGCTAAAAAGTTGAAGAGAGTCATCGTTATTGAGTCCTTTAACCTCAAACCGTCTCTCCACTCCGTGATTAAGTAACAAATGCTCATCTCTAGTTGTAATGAGAACTCTGCTCCCCGATTTAAACCACTCTTGATTTCCAGCCAAATATTCTAATTGACGCAAATGGTTCACATCATCAAGAATTAAAAGAACCTTTTTGTCAATTAGAAACCTGCATATCATTGCTGCTCCTTCATGAACCTCCCATATGTCATCCTTTTTTCCCATCCCGATTTTATAAAGAAGTTGCTTTTGCAGGTCAAGTATGCTACCTTTTTCGACATTACTTCTAACATCAGCTAGAAATATTTGGTATTCAAACACATGAGAGATTCTCTCGTACACAAATCTTGCAATAGTTGTCTTACCAATACCGCCCATCCCCCATATCCCAATAAAGCAACCATCATTCACCGTTGCATCCAAACACAAATCAATAATCCGTTCCGACCTTGACTCGATTGCAACAAAGTCGCCCATCACATGAGATAAAAATGTTGGGGGCAACTTTTTCCGTACCACTTGAACAATATCTTTGACAAGCTTTGCTTCAGACCTATGGAAAAGAATAGAGTTAGATATACAATTTCCAAAATGTTTTTACTATTGTTTGCATTGAGTCAAGTCAAAACACAATAATCACACACCTATATATGATGTGCATTGTATAAGAGTTATCGAACTATAGATGGAATTTGTTTAATGGCATTTATAGCTATGTCCATTGTAATTTGTGATATAATTGGCTCTATTTCTATTCCTCAAACAGAAGTCACACAAGGGGTGTAGGTGTGTGTGTCATTATATAAGGAGGACACAGTTGCGAGAAAAATCAAAACGTTACCAGTCTCTTGAATCCCACCCAGAGAAATTTGCCACTTTCGTTAAAGCATATCTCCAACTTTCCACCTCCCTTCCGTCAACCCCAGGGTTGTTTCCATATTTAATGAAGGCTTCTGCAAAACGCCCTGTTTGCTTTCGTACGTCAGAGGGATCAACATTATAAAAAATTGGCAGCACTGCTGCTCTTGCTTCCATGCACTTAAGAATATGTAAAAGTTCAATCAAGCACCACGTTGATGATGCATAATTTTCTGAGAGAACGATGAGTGCAAATCTTGATTGTTCAATTGCAGTAAGAAGTCCTGGAGAAATAGATTCCCCTTTACGAAGTTTAGGGTCATCCCTAAAAGTTATTATTCCTCGACTTTCCAATGCGGTGTGTAAGTGGTCTGTGAATCCCTTTCTAGTGTCTTCACCTCTAAAACTCAAAAATACATCATATTTCCATTCAGAAGCTGAAGCAGAGAAAGGTGTACTGGTTTCTCCTGTGCTCATCGCCACGGTACTTTCAAAAGGATTCATCATCATTTTAAGACTTGCCTCTTGGATGTATAGTAGACGAGAAGTTTTCTTCTGTTATGTGGTTTCTCTACTGCATAGAAAACACAAAATATGAATGAAGCTTTACAAATACACTACAAAGTGGCAAACATCCGTTGTTTTCTATCTTTTTATTGCTGTTTGTGTCTTGGCTTTATCTTGTTCGGAATACATGAGAAAGACCCCACACACACACATTAATGTATAAATGGTAGTATTTTGGACATTGTCAATTCTAAACTACAAAGGATATATACATGCTCAAAAACATACCTGATCATGTTAGACATTAGTGTCTCTTTAACAGAACAACATCAACAACGAAATTTATTAATTAGAAAAGAAAGAGCAAAAAATAGCTAGGATTTGGAAAGGTAAAGAAAACTGTTGTGTGAGAGCAAGGTTTGAGAGTTAATTGTACTGACCGGTGAGGTAGCACTACTGAGCTAACTATGTTTTGTTGCTTAAAACAAATGGGTCAGTCAGATTCATTGGGATTTAATGAGAGACATAAAGACAGGAGGAACTTACTCGGTTTCCTATTGCAAGTCATCAAATTTATAGTGCACTAGACAGGGTTTGAATAAGTAGGAGCCCATTTGTTAAACTTTCCATTTTTAGTTTTCATTTTTTGTTAGATACACAAGGGAAATACATCGAAGAAATGTGGATCAAAGAGTGGTGGAGGAATTGTTGTGACAACATGAACCTAAAAACTGAAATCAATTGTAAGTGGATGGGAAAAAGTGAAGTTTAGGCTTAGTAAACACTAGTCAATGGTGCCCAAGCATTGCTGGCGGATTAAAAATTGTATGAAAACTTATGTTTCAAACATGTAAATGATTGCTGTGACAGCATGAACCTAAAAACTGAAATCAATTGTAAGTAGATGGAAAAGAGTGAAGTTCAGGCTTAGTAAACAAATAAAACAGTGAATAAAAATACAACAGTGAATTAAAAATCCAATTTTCCTTGTTTACTTTCCTTTGTCTTCTCGCGTATTAAGCAAACAAATAAAACATTGAATTAAAAATACAATGATTAACTTATAATTAAAGCATTTGAAGTGTTATGCTTTTGGAATAACAAAACAAAACAACCCACACAAAATCTTACATTTTTCGCAGATGAGCCTCGACTATCAACGATGTCGTCTTGAAACCACTCCACCCTCCCGCCCAAACTTATAGGAATCCTAAATTCCTAATCCTGCATTAACCAAAATTCAAACAATTATTCAGATTCCTAATTAAAACTGCATGAACCAAAATCTTAGTAACATGAAGAAGAAAAATACTACTCACACAACAAAAATTGATAATATAAAAACCAAAATTCGTTTGAATGAACACAAAAAACCAAAATCTTATAGGAGCTTCCTTTTGAGAATCTCAAACTCAAGCCATTTCAAAATAAGTTGTTCGTATTTCCTCGAATGCATGCTAAATCTCTCTCTTAGTGCTCAAAATCCAAATGAGAACTTAAAATATACAAAACTACATTTAAGCTGAGGCTATAATGCACTAAATACCACAATACAGCAAAACAAAGATGAATTCAACACCTTGAATGTGTAAATATTCATATCTCAAACCAATTTGAAACCTAATTTTCGTCCTGAAAAACTTTGATCTATAAAACCCATTGACAATTTTCAACAAAAAACAATCAATTTAGGAAAGCAAATACAATACAGCAAAAGAGCTGTTCGATTTAGCTCCATTTAGTATGGCCAAAAGCTTGAAAAACAGCTTAGAAGCACAATTCCAAGTATTACCAAAAGCAAGCAACTCTGGGGCAAAGAGCCCACTTTCCCAAACTGAGCTTTAAGTTCAAGCCACATGATTCAAATTAATTTATCACTAATCTAGGTTCTAAAATGGTAAAAGTGAGGAAATATACCTATCACCCTGCTCGCTGTGATCTGTGAAATCCAAGTTCCACTACAAGACCCTCTGCATAGCTGCGTAACTTCCGGTGATGAACACCCTGAGAAGGTTTAGAGTAGCAGCAGATAGGTAATAGGCTCTGATCAGTCTCTGATGATCTGGAGTACCATAATAATTTCCACCAAAAATATACAAATATTTAAAGAAAATATAACTACTCTCTCAATTTTGCTGAGAAATATCTGCCACGCCATTAAATATTTCTTAAAACCTCTGTCTTCACTATCTATGTTGTATAAAAATTGGCAATAAAACCGTAAAAGACCTAAATAATTGATATATGTTTTCGGTAACCAAAAAGTTGCAATTTATTAAATTTCAGAGTCCTTGACAAACTTCAATCATGACCAGTGAAGACACGATCAACCCAGATGGGTCAACAGCAAATCCATGGGGACTTTGCAGTATGCATGAGGCGGAGGAAATTAAGTGCTTGGTGAAAGAAAAAAAAAACCAACCCCAACCCCTGATTAAGCAGATAAATGATAAATCACTCGATAAAGCTTGATTACTAGGAAGAATGAATCTCTGAAAGAGAAACTCACCACTGCTATCACTGAGCCTCAGCACAAAGGCCTTCAAACGCTGAAAAGAAAACGAAATTAAATAACAAAAACGAAATTTGAACACAAAACCTAGCTAGCAACCTGCTAACGTTGCTCAACCTGGGTTCTGGGCGATTTGAACAGGAGGAACTTTAAATTGCTTGCCCTTCACACTTGAGATATGGAAAATTAGCAGATGGTTTATAGTAGTGATTTTGATCATGATATGTAAAATTAACAACCACAGAATTTAATTGTGCCAATTAAGATGCAGAACAGACAGAGGATCTTCTACAAAGATGCATTTTAAATACCTGCGGGGGAAGCTTCCTCTCAAGCTGCACATATCTTCCAGCGGAAACTTGAAATATTAATTCATTTAAAAGCATTGATAATTAGGCGCAGTGGGGTTGCTTAAAAAAAAAGACAGACTTGCAATATTAATCAATATCTTTAGGAAGGAAGACCGATGACGGAAGCGTGGACTTAAAAGGGTAAACCGGTCATTTTACTGCAGGAAAGCTTCCTCGCAAGCTGCCTGCGTAACTTTTTTTTTTTTTATTTTATTTTTTTTTTATTTAAGTACGAAATTGTTGTACGCCTATTTGATCAAACTAATCTAGAAGATTAGAGAAACAAAGGTTCGATGGCAATTAGAGAGAGGAGAGAGTGATTTAAATGTGAGGTATGTTTGTCTTCATTGTGCCTTTATTTATAGTGGTAAGATAGGTAAAAACGTTTTCCTTTATGATTACAACTCTTAATAGGTAATCAACTTCTAATAGGAATATAAGATACATTCTCATATCTTCTACGATTTACACAAACATATTCATATTCTAAATATGACTACAACATTCTCCCTTAAGTGTGTAAATACTCAACAAACTATCGCATTAGATCTTCAGTAGAGAATGTAGAATAGTTGATGAAGTCATCGGCACAATGGGTGAACGCAAGTATGACATCCCACATCGCCTAGGGAGTGATCCTTATATGTATATTCCCATCCCTACCTAGCACGAGGCCTTTTGGGAGCTCACTGGCTTCGGGTTCCGTAGGAACTCCGAAGTTAAGCGAGACGGGGGCTAGAGCAATCCCATGATGGGTGACCCACTGGGAAGTTGCTTATGAGTTCCCAAAAACAAAACCTGTGAGGAATGGTAAGTTCAAAGCGGACAATATCGTGCTACGGTGGTGGAGTGGGCTCGGGAAGTGATTCGTCCCGGGCGGGGATGTGACAGCAAGTCTCAAATTTAAGAAAGTATGCATTTGTAGTAAAACTCACAAAACCTTGCTATGGTAAAACTCAAGGTATTGGAAAAACTCATAGACTAAGGAAAAAAAGTGAGAAGTATGCATAATGTCTAAAACAAACGTCAAATAGGACAAAAGTAGTGAACTCAAGAGAGTATGATCATCCTAGGATGGGTGCCTCATTAAAATCTCGTTCCAGTGGGAAAAATGCTCCTAATCGTAGGAAAAAAATACATTAAGATCAAGTGAGTATGCTTCTAGATACTCCTCCTGAGTTAGACATAACTTTTAAATAAGAGAACTACAAGCGATTCAATTCAGATAATTTAAGCATGTTGATTCCTTGGACGAGATTCTGAAAAGTAGACTTGGGCAATGACTTAGTGAAGAGATCAGCCAAATTGTCCTAGGAACGGATTTGC